AAACGAAAAATGCTATTTTTATTTTATAAATTTTCATGTGCTAAAAAATGATGCTACATACACTAAAAAAAATTAGAAAGTGAAGATTCAAAATCTTGTCATCTTTAATACAGTAGACTCTCGTTATATTGCCGAAAAAGAGAATCCTTCCAGTTAGACTATTTATAATAATTAAAATTAGTGTATCTGTTTTATGATTCATTATAAAATACAGTTTATATTTTCTCATAAAGTAGACTCTCGTTATATTGCCGAAAAAAGGTATCCTTCCAGTTAAACTATTTATAATAATTAAAATTAGTCTACCTAATTTATGATCCATTATAAAATACAATTTGTATAATATTTTCTGACAAAATACAATATAATAGTTTACAATACTTATTTCATAATTTTAATTGGATTAACTTTTAAATATTTAACAAAATTATTTGTAACTTAATTAAAATTCTACTAAAATAAATATCAATATAAAGCTTTGCACCGTTAAAAATCTTGAATCAACAAATCTGCAGTGACGTTTCACGCGTTTTCCGCGAAACACATTTTGTGAAAACTGCAAGATAACTTTGTCATTTTTCAATATTTTTTCACGAAATTTCGTGTACACTGATAAGATAATTTATCGTGTTTCTCAACATTCATTTTTCAATTTTTAAGGTTCTTATTCACTGAGACTACACAACATCCATCAAATATCGATTTCGATACGCTGTAATCAATACAACAAATTTCTAAAAAGAATTTTCTATTTATTGCAACAAACATAATTACTTTATATAATAAAATATTAAATAAGTAAACATTTCATTGTACTATAAAACTTAAAACGAAATATTCTAAATTAATTATATTTGAAGTTTATTATATTATTATTGTCATTTATGAATTATTTACTTATGAAAATAAAATAATTACTTTGTACAACAACTAAAATAGGGTTTCATTCATCCACTTTTGCCTGAAACAGCTGACATTCTCGAACCATCAAACTCGATATCGATACTAGGATTAATTAAGCACCGAATGTCTGTCGAATCACCGAAGAATAAAGACAAGCATTGTTAAAATCAATTTACGATCAAGCAACACGTACCTTATATTCTTATCTCCGATGTAAATTTAATTGACACGTCTGTCGATTATCTCATCAAAATTGCAGTTCCTGCTAAATCGATTATCTTTGATAGACAAACCTTTCCCCAACAAATATGCGGAAGGTTAATTGTTTATACGTCTTATTGCAATTCTACGTTGTATAACGTCAATTAGACATAGTTTCTTCTCAAAGGTTATGCCACAATTTCTTTCAATGTCCTTCGTTTTCTTTTAATACTACATTAAAAATTTCAAAATCATTTTTAATTAACCTTCACCTACAACTTTTGCGTCGCAGTTTAATTACTACTACAAACTTAAGACAAAAAAATTGAAAAGTTAGACAGGTTTTGTATTCCGCGATCCTTGATTATCAAGATTGTAATTAGATCTGAATGCAAATTGCAATGAAAATATGAGTCTGGTTTGTCACGAACTAAGATGCGTCCCGAGTGCGTCACAATATTGTAGTATAAGGGGTTAGCCTTAAATATAAACAAACTCTTGCTGATTAATCATCTGATCTCCCGAATCTGAGGTACTTTAACCACTTATCAAATTCATGAGTCTTCAAATTTATAATAAAAACAATTCAGCAGTTTTAATCAGGTTATAAGAAATACAGTATACAGGGTATCTCACAACTAGTGTCCCTGAAATGGGGAGTAGCTGACGTCATTCTGAATAAGATTTCCCTTTGCGAAAATGGCGTTTGAAGCCTAGTTTTTGAATTATTAAGGAAAAACACGGACCAATCAGAGCGCGAGGATGACGCATGCGCAGACGCGAGAACGGCACCTTCGGATAACGCGTAGTTATCCAACGCGTGGTAATCCAACGCGTAGTAATGCAACGTGTGGTAATCCTACGCGTAGTAATCCAATGCGTAGTAATCCAACGCGTACTAATACAGCGTGTGGATATCCAACGCGTAGTAATCTAGCGCGTGCATATTCTACGCGTAGTAATCCAACGCGTAATAATGCAACGCGTGGTAATTCTAAGCGTAGGAATCTAATGCGTGGTAACCTAACGCGTAGTAATCCAGCATGTGGATATCCAACGCGTAGTAATCTAGCGCGTGCATATTCTACGCGTAGTAATCCAACGCGTAATAATGCAACGCGTGGTAATTCTAAGCGTAGGAATCTAATGCGTGGTAACCTAACGCGTAGTAATCCAGCATGTGGATATCCAACGCGTAGTAATCTAGCGCGTGCATATTCTACGCGTAGTAATCCAACGCGTAATAATGCAACGCGTGGTAATTCTAAGCGTAGGAATCTAATGCGTGGTAATCTAACGCGTAGTAATCCAGCATGTGGATATCCAACGCGTAGTAATCTAGCGCGTGCATATTCTACGCGTAGTAATCCAACGCGTAATAATGCAACGCGTGGTAATTCTAAGCGTAGGAATCTAATGCGTGGTAATCTAACGCGTAGTAATCCAGCATGTGGATATCCAACGCGTAGTAATCTAGCGCGTGCATATTCTACGCGTAGTAATCCAACGCGTAATAATGCAACGCGTGGTAATTCTAAGCGTAGGAATCTAATGCGTGGTAATCTAACGCGTAGTAATCCAGCATGTGGATATCCAACGCGTAGTAATCTAGCGCGTGCATATTCTACGCGTAGTAATCCAACGCGTAATAATGCAACGCGTGGTAATTCTAAGCGTAGGAATCTAATGCGTGGTAATCTAACGCGTAGTAATCCAGCATGTGGATATCCAACGCGTAGTAATCCAACGCGTGGATATTCGACGCGTAGTAGTCCAACGCGTAATAATCCTCGCGCTCTGATTGATCCGTGTTTTTCCTTAATAATTCAAAAACGAAGCTTCGAACCCCATTTTTGCAAAGGGAAATCTTATTCAGAATCACGTCAGCTACCCCCCATTTCAGGAACACTAATTGTGAAACGCCCTGTACATTATAATATACAATAGCATTGTAACATATATAAAAATAATATTATCACATATTACCTACAATATACCATGTACTATAAGACAACATTCCCAATGCTTATCTCTAAGTAACAAGTTTCGTTTCACTGTTAAGAACTTACAATATACAATGTACATCAATAACTCGATAATGGAACCACAATTTATATGCAAAATTTTTGAGTAAACATTATTACCCGTTTTAAATGGATCACTCCGTAGAGCGATCGACTGACCCATTACAGTCAACTCTCCGAGGACAGTTAATACACATAGATAATAAACATAATGTCAACTGTTATCTGTGTTCGACTTGGTAGAATATAGATTGCAAGGTTGAAGCAATATCGTGACCTTTGCAATCTCTGTGTGCTCCAGCCTTCGTGTATTATAATTTGCACCGTTCTATCTTGCATTCAGTTTTCTGGACAACTGGACGTGTGTTGTACACGATGCGATTAAACGGAATAGAAAAGAAACCGAGGATTGATAACGCGATACAATTGACGCTAACCCTTTTGCTTTAATCGTACGTTGAGTTACTTAACTCAATATTCGAACGGAGAAACAATTTTATTTTAATTTTACAAATTTTTTAATTCTGTAGATTTACTAATTTTTACAAGTTTTGAATTTTAGAAATTATTTAAGTTTTCATATTTTTAAATATTTGCAATTTTTTTAAACTTTGCAAGTTTCAAATTTTACAAATTTTCAAGCTTACAAATATCCCTAGATTCCCTAAATTTCTAAACTTACAAATATCCCTAAATTCTCTAAATTTCCACACTTACGTGTATCCCTAAATCCTCTAAACTTCCAAATATTCAAACTTCCAAATATCCCTAAATTTTCCAAACCACAACTTTCCTTCAATACTTCAAATTTATCAAATTCTTCAATCTGTCATTCCTAAAATCCCCAAATTTATAAATATAAAAATTCAAAATTGCAAAGGGATGCAAAATGAAGTTGTTTTGAAAAAACCGATGATTATTTCGTTTACAAACATAATCGCATAAAAATGTATTTCATGTAAATGATAGCACGGTAGCAACAAATAATCTAGACGTAATTTATACGAAATTTTTTACTTGCGTTGGCAAACAAGGGTGAAGTAAACAATGCATAATCAACATCGGACTTTTAACCGAATTATCAGCGTAATACCATTGTACGAGTCCAACAAAAGTCGTCCTAAATTCTTGCTTTTAAAAATATCATTCCTGAGATTATGAAATGCAAGTTGTAGCTTTTGACGAAGTATATTATGTTTTCATACTGCGTTGATAAGCAATCGTAAACTTCTTTACGGAAAAATAGAGACTGCGGGAAAAATTCTAGTATTTTCAAGCTTTTCATATTCATGAGTTTTCAAGTTTTAGAATTTCAAAACTGAACATTTGTGAATTTTTAAATTTTAAAATTTTAATATTTAGAATTCAGAAATTTGGAAACTTGGTAATTTTGAGGTTGGAGAATTTGAAAATTTCAAGGTTTGGAGATTTAGGAATTTGTAGATATTGCAAGTTAAAAAAATTAAAAGTTTAAAAACTCAAAAATATAAGAATTGTCAAAGCTTCAAAAAGTTTCAAATTTTTTTTATAACGAAGTCGACCCGCCACCTCCAAATCATTTCCTGCATAACCTCTAAGTCATTTATACACCTGTCGTTCCCTAAACTTGTTCAAAAATTCAAGAATCAAACTCTGTTTCTCAAACATCCCATAATCCATAAATAATTACCAAAGTAGTGTCCCAGTAAATTCCTCAAAGCACAAATGTTTCCGCATAAAGAAAATAACTAAATAATTTATCAGGTAATAGATAATCGATTGGCAAACGATGCAGAAACAGGCGCCACAGCAAAAGGGTTAACGTCACACGCATATCCGTTCACCTTGACGCATCCTCGGTGCATATTTCATTAATAGAACAACGAGTCTGACCTTGGACCAGGCAAATCCATGGTTGTGGCTCGATGATGCGTCCTGTCCACAGTGGCGATGATCCCAGGATGAAGACTTTCCTGTTGCGGATGCTGGGGGTGCAGGTATACCTCCTGTTCCCTCCACATTGTTGCTGCCACTTTTAGAACGATTTGATACGATATATCAACGGTACGTTTCAACGGCGCACAAATTAGTTCGCAAGTTGGCCTCTAAGTTCCCTCGTGTGTTTACAATGGAGATCCTTATCCCATAGATCATCGTCACCGATCATCCTCGACCGTATTATCCATTTAACACCCCCGACAAACGTTTTCTCGATCACTTTCACGAGTGCACGCACACCGGCGATCGTCGTTCAGTCCGACAAACAAACGTTCGAAACACTGGACTCGTCCTCGGCGTCGTTCGCCATATTGGAGAACAGACAACTGCGACAAAATCGACGTCGCGGCCGTGGCGTGTCTGTCCGTTATCGCGCGACAACTTCGCGGCTTGTTTGTTGGCCGAATTAAAATTAGCCAGGTCGCCGGTTAATCTTGCCCGTCCGATCGCTCGTCTCGTTTCTTCGCGGACAGATAAAAAAGTCTCTTTATCTGCGTCGGACTCGGAGCAAACATTCGGCGAAAATCGGCGTCGGGAATAAAAGAACCGCCTAATTGTTACGTCAGTGCCGCTGCATGTATTACGCACGCGATTAAGTTACGCCGCCAGCGAAGACGCGAGAAAATGTGCAGAAACGTATCGTCCTTCGTGGATGCTACGATATGTCACGCGAGTGACGCGTTCCATCGCGCGGGACGCAGCCGTAACCTTCTTGCTTCTCTCAATAATCATCGGACACGTTTGACAATCGCGCGAAAAAACGCCGTCCGCATCGCATCACGTACGAGTCTCGTCCGCGAACACGTCCACCGATTCGTTCGCCAGACTCACGACCTTGACACCGTGTTCTAGATCCCGACGACGCAGCAGGAAACCGGAGCGATCGCGAGAGGGCATCGATCGACGGCCACGATCAATAACATTCGACCGAGATGCACACACGATGGCCTCCTCCTCCTCCTCCGCCGTCTCGTTCCGTTACATCGTGCGATAAAGCAACACTCGTGTCAGACAATGTTCCACCGAGGAATCTTCGGCCTTGACACACTGTCCTAAATGCCTCTTAGAACGGAGAAAATACGCGATGACTATGCATACTGCAGATACGAGACGACTTGTTAAACGTCACTTCCTCTATTTACGTTTATAGTCGACAGACAGTTGAACAGCGTTGTATAAGTACACCGCACAGTTTCTTTAATTGTCAATGATAGAACACGCCGGTAGCGCAACTATTCGAGAGCAGTGTTGATCAGAACACTCGAAAAGGAACACGCGTATTACAAGATGCAACGCGCACGGTAGTCGAACGCGAACTGCCGGCTGAGCGATGCCCCCACTCCCCGCTACAATCAGCGCACGAACCCCCACTCCACCCACTCGGCGCTGAAGGACCAATCGCAGAGTCGCTTACTGCCTTCCAATACTGGCCGCGCTCGGACCGCGCTGCGTGATAACAACACGGTTTTAGGCGGATCCCTTGTATAAGGCTGTTTCCAACTCGCCTGATAAGAAACGAATTTGCGCGCGAGAATTCGAGTACCGCGGCGTATGAGAACGTTATCGAGCATTTTACCGCTTATCGGCTGTTCCGCATTTTGTCATTTTTCGATTATTCATGCAGTTACATGCAAATGTATCGGTGACTTTCAGCAAATGACTGTAAGTGTTCGATGCTTTCAAGAAAAACGGGTTTTAAAGGCTGGTGATATTTTATGTACTGTTATGGATATCTTTTAGATAACTTTGTTTAGAACGTCATTTTTATTGTAATTCTTTTTTTAAAGACAGTTGCGTAATTTTGCAGTGTAATTTCACTGGAAATTTATGAACGTAGATAGTTCTATCTTTATGATTTTTTAAATAGAGGATTTAGAAATATTTTTGAGCTTTGGATACTTGTTAAAGATTTGGAAAGTTAGATATTTGAAAGTCTGACATAAATGTGAAATTTAGAAATTAAAAAATTTGAATATTTGGAAATTGAAGTATGGAAGTTTAGTAGTATAGTAATTGGAAAATTGGTGTATTTAGAAATTAAAAATTGCAGGAAGTTGAATATCTAGCACAGCTATCGAAACAAATATGAAAATCGTAGAACGGTAAGCGATCGGTGAATGGGTTTGGTAGAATCGAAATAGAACCGAAACCTTGAGAATTATTTAACATAGAAAAGTTGCATTCTTACCCGTAGGAGATGGTCGTTTCCGGCGCAGATGTTGAAGACAAAGCGCCAGCATCGTCCTCGTCCACGTCATCCTTCATTTTTTAGATTTTTCCTGCAACGGGATCAAACAAATACCATCGTTATGTGACGAATCGCACAAAGAATTATTATTTTCTTTCAACCGACATTCTTCGCAAATATTTTTCCGAGTGCAGAAACAAGGTGAAAAAACGATAATACTTTCAATAGCAGCGAAAGGACACGTCCAATGACAACGATGACATCGATTGATTGATAACATAAATAAATGATGTACGCTGATAAAACCACTGTGAAAATATGCAGTGACAACTCGACATCGAGTAAAAAACCCTGCTACAATCGCTGCGCGAATTATGTTGAGAATGCTGCAAAATGTCAGCTTAACGGGCATAATGTCTGAAGAGAAAGAATTCAAACAACTCTTCGATAAATCACTCGATCGTGGACATCCTTGATGGGATTCGAGGAAAATGTAGCAAGTCTGATATTTTAATGTCAACACATATCTATTTTATAGACACTTTTATGTAACTAGGCACTTTATCTAGGGAAGAGTTACACTTTCCTGTGAAGAATAGTTTACAAATATTTGTATTAGATTAATAACATGCTACGCGGGTTTTTAACTAAGGGAATATTAATTAATATGTATATGACTTTACTCAGGTAAATTTCAAAATTAATATATTGTAGAATTTCATGAAGGTGAAGTCATATAATGTATACATTGTATACAGACAACGATGATTAATGTTATGATACATATTTATAATTTATATTGTAACTTATTATTAATATTATGTATACAGAGTGTCTCACAGCTAATATCCCCGAAATGGGGGGTAGGTGACGCGATTCTGAATAAGATTTCCCTTAGCAAAAATGGGGTTCGAAGCTTCGTTTTTGAATTATTAAGGAAAAACACAGACCAATCAGAGCG